TCGGCTTCCCGCGTCCAACCAAGGGAGGTTTGGGAGGCCATTGCAGCTTACCTCCTGTGCTGTGCGAGGCCCGGATTACACCTCAATAATGGTTCCTTCTTCTTTTGAGTTTGGCTCCTCTTTTCCTTACTGAGTGCATTATGAGGTGCCTGAGTCTTCCTGGCTGGCAAACTGCCCTTTCTTTTAATTGGGGGCGTGGCATGTGTTGAAGTTGTTTGCTCTGATTCTGCGGGAAGCGGTGTCTCTGTTCTTTGCTTTTCGCCTTGTGTGCCGACAGGTGGTGCTAGTCCACTCTATGGAAATCTGTTTGGATCCTGGCTTTTAGATTTTTGTCCCCTTTTTGTCTGTTGCTGATTGCAGAGTTTGCGGTGGTGCATTTTCGGCAGGTGGCTTCGTCTACTTGCCGGTCTATGTCAGACTTAATGGTTTTCCAGGGGGGCCGTCGGAGTCTTACCCGGAATCCAGAGCCCTGGTCGTGCCAGGGCTCTGGGTTCCTTCGGTCGTTGTAAGCCAATGGAGCCAGATTCTGAGCCGACCCCTTCTGTGGAGCCGTCAGCGTCTGGTCAGTGCAAAACTCGCTCTGAGCGTCGGTTAGGGGTCTCATAAAGGTCGTCGGCCCTTTTGCTCTTCACCCCGTTGACAGAGCTTGTTTCTGGGGGCTGCCGGGGTCACTTGGCGAATGCTCGAGGGTTTGTGCGGGAGCCTGAACTTTTCCACGATGGTCTACCCGCTGGAATAAACCTGTCCCAGCGGGTAGGCAGTGGGTGGCCTTAGTCGTTCTGTCGGGCTCACAGCACGGTGTGGGAGTTTGCGGTGGTGTGGATGTCGCTTCCGAGGGTTTGGGTCACTCGCAGATCGACGATCAGGCTCCATTCGGACTGCTCCCTGGTGGTTACTTGCCTGAACCGTGGGAGTTCGATGCAGTCCTTACATCTTTGGGGCTGGTCGCTTCAATTGACTCGTCTGCTGAATTCTCGTGGTTTGGCTTTTCCTGGCAGTTCACATTCAGGGGGTGTCCAATGTGCTGGCGGATGACAGTGTCCACCCCTATATTTCTTCCCTCCCAGCTTAGAAGAGCCATATCTCCGTAGCCTAAGTATTCTCTGATGTTCAGGGAACATTTTCGTGTGTGGGAAAGCGTGGAGCGTGATTAAGCTGGCTGTAAAATGGCCAGCTAAGTTTGATAATGCAGGGGGCTTATGCCTTTTGAGGGGCACAAGACAGTGCCGAGCCATCCTGTTTCCCGCCAAGACGTCGTGACGCTTCCCGGCACCTGATTGGCCAGGTGAGGTCACGTGCCGGAAGTGACCAATGACGAGAGCCCTCGGGCGGTGTGACGTCATGAGGCGGAGGGCTCCTGGGGCGGCTGGCACCTGGGCGGGAAGAGTACGTCACGAGCCGTCATAGAGGGAAGACGCGCTCGGTTGAGCTCCGGATCTAGAGAGCCCTTACCAGTAGATTTAAGCTTCGCTTCGATTCTGCAGACAGTCTGAGAAGCCATCCAACTTCCGTGGAGTGCCCAGAAGCAAGGACGGGCCGGATTAGAGAGCCAAGAGCTCTATCAAGAGTCTGCAGCAGAGGGAACGTTGGGCTGGTGACGTCTGGGACGCCCAGAGGACCAGTATTCCACATCAAGCGAAAAGCTACGGCCGGGCCAAGTCTACTGGCAGTGAGGCGAGGGGAAGCTGTGCTGGACTGTGAGGTGTCGACAGTGCCAGTGAGAGTGAGGACGACGACGGAGGTACCTGTCTCCAGTACCCCGGAAGAATAGGAGGAGGAAGGCAGTACCTATTGACTGTCAGTACGGTGAAGACGCGTTACCACGAGGACGATGGAGGAACCTGTGTGTGTGGGAACTGTTCATCAGGAGACCAGGAGCCAGGACCAGGAACCTCAACATCCCTCAACAGAGGACGAGTCAGCTTCGTGGTTGGAGTGAAATAAGGTAGATAATTGTCCCTCCCTTTACCCCTTTTGATCTAGGCGAGCTAGAGTATTTTATATGTTGTGAACATTTCTACTCATCATTTTATTGTCTTAAGTGACAGAATATTAGGCTAGGAGCCAAGAGCTCATTTAGGCATGAGTTGGTATGTGTGAGCATTAAGGCGGGGATGTTAGTGATCCTGGAGGTGGTAGCTGGTGTGCAAAGAGCCAGCAACGAACTCTGAAGCACCCAGCTGATCGCATTGCTAGAGGCGTGGGAAAGTCACGATGTTCTCACAGTTAGAGGTATCAGCTGATCGTATTGCCAGAGACGCGAGGTTTGTGCCCGCCGCCTGACGGGTGAACCCAATCAGCTGACCGTGTTGCCAGTAACCGTGCCGCGAGGAGTGTTGCCGCCTGCGGACGATATCCCCCTTTTGACATTTCTTTATACAATTATATGAGTATATATTCTTTTGCTTCAGTAAACTTTTAAACTAACTGATGAGTTTAAGTGAGCCTCCATTCTCTAATGCTATATATATATATTTAGGAGACCATTAGTGACACTGCATATGATATTGCATCCTTGATTAAGATAACCACTAAGACCACTGACGTGTTGCTGGGACACGAGTATAAACACCCAGCTGGTGACCTGAGTAGACCAGATATCCAAGAGAGCGTTCCAGAGTCAGGACGGGCAGGTTCAGGTGAGTGAGTCATAGGAGGCTTGAACCTCCCCACTCACTTGGGGTGTATAAGGCCAGCCCTTAGTTGACTGGGGGAGCCCAAGGGCGAGCAGTGGCGCCTGGTACTGAGGGGCTAAGACCCGTGGGACGATCCCAACCACAGGTTGGAAGGGGGTGAACCGTGACAACGGCCTGTCTCGATTCATTCCCTTGTCCACAGAATGGACGGTCGACACCGACTCGTACAGTTGACTCTGCCGGACGTACAGGCCCCCGAAAGTGTATCACTTCGTGTCGGCGTTGTCGAGGTTGATGCTTTTCGGTGGGACTGGTCGAGGTGGGGTTACCTGTACCTCTCTCCCCCTCCCCCCAGTTCAGCTGTTGCTCTAGATCCTAGCTCGCTTGGAGACTTACCAGGGAAGAGTAGTCTTCTTGGCCCCTTGGTGGCCAGCCAGCCTTGGTTTCAAGCGCTGCTTGCTCGATGTTCGAATCCAGGAGGGTTTCTTGCAGCTCCGCCTCTTTCAGCAGATTGGTCCGGTCCGTCACGTGGCTCGTTCGATCTTCTCCTCGAATCTTCTTATCTGGTGTTTTTGACTCGAGTCTATCACCATCTGTATGGTGATCAGGTGCCTTCTTTGATGGTGCGCTACCTGCGTGTTTCGTCTCGGCGGCAGTACGAAGTTTCCTGGCGGTCCTTCCGTTTATTTTTCTCTCTTCATAGGTGTACTTCGCTTTCTATTAAGGTTGTTTTGTCCTTTTTCTCGTGGTTGTCTCGGGACCATCATCTTATACTACCTACTGTCACCTGGTACCCTGCTGCACTGGCGGAGCCACTGCAGGTTGCTTTCGGTATTGATGTTACTTCTGCGCCGTTTCACAAGCTGTCTTGGGCACTGTTCTTATTGGCTTTGTCCTCTGGAGGTCGGGTTGGGGAGCTTCCTGCTCACCATCAGCACAGGGGGTTTCTGCTGTTTTGGTTCTGGTGATAGGTTTGTTTGTTTGCAGCCATCTCCTTCTTTTCTGGCGAAGAATGAGACGGCTGCTTTCCATTGGGCTTCTTGGGTTGTTGATGCTTGATTGGTTAGGCCGGGGGTGCATCATGTGTTGTGTCCGGTTGTGGCTCTCCACCATTCTTTGTGCGCCATGGCTTCTGTGTTTGGGGACGTTCTTTGGGTTGATCCGGCTTCCTTTCTTCCCTATTCCAGGGTTCGGGTCTCCCAGGTTGTCCGCAGGTCCATTCGATTCAGCTAGCCTGTGGTCTATCCCTGTGGCCAGGACGTTCGTAAGGTTACTGCACTTGCTGCTATCTTCAGTAACATGGCTTGGGTTGACATTTGGGCAAGGGATTTTAGGCAGTCGAACAGGGTCCTAGTTGCGCGCTATCTGGTCACTGTAACGGGGCCTAGTCAGGCTTGTGTCGCTTTAGGTCAGTAGCCAGTTGTCTCGACTTCGTGTTGATGAGCGAGTGCCGACCGCCTCCCAAGTCAGTCCCTCTTGGTTTAGTCTTTTGGTAAGTAGCTCCGGGGAGCCGAATGTGCACCCCTAGAAAACCAGCGTATAATGTAATGAAATGCAATTTACTGGGTGAGACCCGGAGGTCCCCAGTTACCCTCCCTCCCCATAGTCGGCGGTGTTTTGACATCCAGCCTCGGGACTATCCCTACCTCGGAAGGTGGGGATTGCCTGGGCGAGGGGTCTGGAGCTCTCCCTTCCTCCTCTCCTGGGGAGGGGGAGCTGTGCAGACAAGCTGTGCAGTACGTGTGACATCATGCTTGTTTGCTCGTTTTCATTTCGGGAGTTGTGTCTACTCGTTTACCCGAACAGTGTCGGCTCTCAATAGTAGTTTTAACCAGAATAGGGGTTTGTTTTCGGGCACATACCCTTCAGGGTGCCTGACCCTGTCGATGGCAGACATAGAATGCTCCAGACCACATGTGCAATTCTATAGGACATTGCTCCTCGTTCCTCTCTGAGGGGGCCCAGGTTCTGGCTCGTGGTCCCCGGTAGGCCTAGGAACTCCAATCACACTGACTGATACGAAAGTCTAATATATCCATATCAGCCTAGATAGCTCCAGAGGAGCCTCCAGGTTTCACCCAGAAAATGGCGTTTCATTGCATTCAACGCTGGTTTTAGTTTCAAAGAAATCTTAGAAGTCTGAATTCCTATTCGGGTAAAAAGGTAAAATCTAGAACGTAAATTCATTCAGATTACTAAGATATTCAGGTTACTGGAATTCAAATTACTGAGCTCTTGCTATACTGAATGATATATAACATTGAATTTAAGGCTTATGTGATGCATTATCAATTTTTTAAATATATTTAATTATTGGTTAACAGCACAGACAAGAATAATAAAATTTATATTTTCTCTGGTAAG